AATTATCTTCATTAATTACAATACAATATATAACATGTATCTATGATATCCTCCGTAACGACTAAATATATGTACAGGTAAAATTAAATTCTGATCAATCGGGTACAGATTGATTTACGACCTTCCACTGGTATTGCACAAGCAATATCACAGCAGGTGTTAAATACACTAGGACAAGTGTCAGATCAGTTTGACATCCTGCCCGATTACGGTATCTTCCGGAGACTCTATAAGTACAAGGACTGATTTTTTTTCTAAACATGACAATTGTGAAGATTTTTTAAAGTGAGAACAAAGTTTCTGACCCAAACTATCTATTCACATTATGAATCTATCATGAATAGTAGATTAGTTTACGTTTTTTAACGTAAATACGATTTCCATTCATATATTAAAAAAATTGTAGTTGTCTTTTGCAAAGATAACACATGTATTCATCTTGTTCATTGGTCACATTAAAATAGATTTTTCTTTAATGAACAATGACAACATTTGATATTTATATCGTAAGTAACTTTATTATCAAAAACACCGTTTTATCTCGACCGAAAAGGGAAATAAGATAGTTTATTTAATCTGACTGTAAACATTGTATATATCGCAACGATCTATTAATAACCGTCGCTCACGCATAACGAATTCTATAATCATCTATGTACAACGATCTATTAATAACCGTCGCTCACGCATCACTGGTTCTATCACTGACTCAATACACACCCGTTTTATCGGACAAACGGCTAATTCCCGCCGACACGGAAAATCTCCGGATAACATGCATAATATTCTGTAATACAGCAAATTTACGATGAACCTCTAATTATTATCCGTTTCGCGGAGATTAGCCAAAAATCGCGGGCATTTTCCAAATAGGTCTACCAGTGGTTGAGGCTTTTTTGGTGGAAAATTTTTATCTTAACTAAAATCAGTGATTCAGCTATTAAATTAAAACATTTGCATGACTTTTGTCGAGCCTGCGACTTTTGTCGAGCCTGCGACTTTTGTCGCAGAAAGCTCGACATAGGGATAGTGATCCGGCGGCGGTGGCGGCGTTAGCTAACTTTTTAAAAGCTTTATATTTTAGAAGGTGGAAGACCTGGATGCTTCATACTTTGTATATAGATGCCTCATGTTATGAAGTTTCCATCAGTCACATGTCCAATGTCCTTGACCTCATTTTCATGGTTCAGTGACTACTTGAAAAAAAAGTTAAGATTTTTTGTAACGTTAAATTCTCTCTTCTTATAAGTAATAGGATAACTATATTTGGTATGTGCGTACCTTACAAGGCTCTCATGCCCGTCAGACAGTTTTCACTTCACCTCGACCTCATTTCATGGATCAGTGAATAAGGTTAAGTTTTGGTGGTCAAGTCCATATCTCAGATACTATAAGCAATAGGTCTAGTATATTCGGTGTATGGAAGGACTGTAAGGTGTACATGTCCAACTGGCAGGTGTCATCTGACCTTGACCTCATTTTCATGGTTCAGTGGTTATAGTTAAGTTTTTATACGACCGCAAAAAATTTTGCGGTCGTATATTGGTATGACGTTGGCGTCGTCGTCGTCGTCCGAAGACACATTGGTTTTCGCACTCTAACTTAAGTTTAAGTAAATGGATCTCTATGAAATTTTACCATAAGGTTTAATATCACAAAAGGAAGGTGGGGATTGATTTTGGGGGTTATGGTACCAACAGTTAAGGAATTAGGGGCCAAAAAGGGACCAAAAATAAGCATTTTTGTAACTTCCAGACATAACTTGTGTGTTAGTGTATGGATCTCTCTGACATTGTACCACAAGGTTCCATATCACAAAGGGAATGCTGGGATTGATTTTGGGGGTAATTGCCTCCAAATTTTAGGAATTAGGGGCCAAAAAGGGGCAAAAAACAAGCATTTTTCTAGTTTCATGACAATAACTTGTGTGTAAGTGTATGGATCTTTATGAAATTGTACTACAAGGTTCCATATCACAGGGGGAAAGCTGGGATTGAGTTTGGGGGTAATTGCCCAAAAAGTTCAGGAATAAGGGGCCAAAAATTAGCATTTTTCTAGTTTCCAGACAATAACTTGTGTTTAAGTGTATGGATCTCTCTGAAATTGTACTGCAAGGTACCATACCACAAAGGGAAGACTGGGATTGAGTTTGGGGGTGATGAATCATAAGGGGGTTAAAAAAATTGGGGGGGGGGGATTTTTTTTTCCTTTTTTTTTCTTTAAAATTTTCCATTTTAAATTGGTTATTTCTGATTTATATATATAAAGCAAATAATAATGATATAGTTTGAATAGGTAAATTAAATATTTTTAAGTTCTTAGACCACATTTATTCTGTGTCAGAAACCTATGCTGTGTCAAATATTTAATTACAATCCAAATTCAGTGCTGTATCAAGCTTGAATGTTGTGTCCATACTTGCCCCAACTGTTCAGGGTTAGACCTCTGTGGTCGTATCAAGATGCGCCCCAGCGGAGCATTTTATTGTGTTTTGGTCTGTTTTTCTTATACTGTATGCAATAGGTCTACTATATTTGGTGTATGGAATGATTGTAAGGTGTACGTGTCTAGCTGGCAGGTTTCATCTGACCTTGATCTCATTTTCATGGTTCAGTGGTCAAAGTTAAGTTTTTGAGTTTTGGTCTTTTTTTCTAATACTATATGCAATAGGTCAACTATATTTTGTATATGGAAATATTTTATGATCTATATGTCAGTTGCACAGGTTTTATCTGACCTTGACCTCATTTTCACGGTTCATTGCTCAGTGTTAAGTTTTTGTGTTATGGTCTGTTTTTCTTAAACTATAAGCAATAGGTCAACTATATTTGTTGTATGGAAGAATTGTTAGCTGTACTTGTCTGCCTGGCATGGTTCATCTGACCTTGACCTCATTTTCATGTTTCATTGGTCAATGTTTAGTTTTTTGGTTAATGTTAAGTTTATGTGACAGTTGTAATAAAGCTTTATATTTAGGACTATCAACATTATATCAATGATTAATAAAGAAGGCGAGACATTTCAGCGTGTGCACTCTTGTAATTATATAAAATTAGTATTTAAGACCATGTTGAATATTAACATTACATGCATGTTCATTTCTTATAACATTGCTTCACAATCACTGAACTGTTTAATTTTTCAGTTACATGAAAAGGTTTTTCCTTTTAATACCAAATAGATCATACATTATATCTTTGCGTTTGACCATTTTAAGCAAATAGCTTTTATTTCCAATTTAGCCTTTCACCCTTTCACCCTTGTAGCTTCAAACAGTCTTTCTTGATTATATTTTTGTCCAATAGATTATCTATGCTTTTCAATATTTAGCTAATAGATCCATTTCCAGTTTCAAGTTATTGACCCATATTCTCTTGTTAAAAACTTTATAGTTTGATTTCTCCATTTGCAAATAAAATTCAGTGATGAAAGAATGTACTGTACAATATGGAACCTTCTATAAACAATATTTTGAAAGCTGTTTTTTTTCTTCCTCTTGATAAAAAGTGGAAGGTAATTTTTAGGGAAATGATCAAAATCTTATAATATGAAGTTTTATATAATACACGTATACATTGTACTGACATTCAAGATGGTGAGTCACAACTAAGCAAAAAGGGATATATTTATAAAGTCATTGACTGACAAATAATTGATGATCAGACATAGAACTTTGTTAAATGTATTGTTTTTTTCTAGTTAGTGACTGTATATCTCTTTATATGCAGCATGACCATATAGTTCTGTTAGACATGAGTCACATGACAATAGAAGACGTGACATGTAGACACTACATCGTGTGAATCTTATAGTGTTATATGTCCACTTTTGATAAAAATGGAATTATCTATATTTTTTATATCCAATTGCAATGGTCTATCCCCCTATACAACTATAATACAAGATTTCTACACCCCACAAGTTTTTGTCAGAACTACATTGTTCTATCTCCAAATTCCCATTGGCTTATTCATCTAGTTAGTTCAGAGAAAAATATTTCTATAGTGTTGTATCTCCACTTTATTTGTGTATTTTTGCTGTAAAATAATTATCAAAATGATCTTAGTAGTACTATGCTTAAATTGTTTGCGTGGCTAAAACTCAATCTATGAGCAATTCTTAGCAAATCCAGCTGTCAAGAATTGGGAATATTACACAGTTAAAAAATCCATGGTCTATCTCCTATAGAAATATAGGGAAAATTTCTAAAACAACATTGTTTGAAGTGAAATGTTCTTTCTCCAGAAAAGGGGATGCTTTATTTATTTAAGTTGCTTGTCTATTAAAAAACAATTAAACAAAGAGTTACTCTGCATTTAAGTAAATTTGATGATTCCTTTATAACTTTTTATGTCTCAGACAAATATTTAAGATATTGTGCTTCTAAAGTTTAACTTAAATTTTTAACACTATATTATCAAATGGGAAATACATCATTATTGGATTCACACGACAACTATTCTGTCTGCTTCACATCTGAATTGTAGGATTACCTGCCCTTTGTATATATATCTCAAATTGTGGTTTATTTCTTCATAATATATTCCTTGATAATATACACAATCTATATTTAGAATTTCCTTGTTACTTTATAACCCACCTTTAGATAGTTTTGTACATAGATTTAATTAATTCTTCTTAAACATTGTGTTTCTGCCTGCTAATAGATCCTGGATACCAAATTACACAAAGCTATCATAAGACTTCAGTGTGTGTAAGTTGTATACATTTGGAAAGAGGTTACATACATGTGAGCCTTGCACATACTTTGCAAAACTGCTTCTTTTTTCTCATATGTTTAGAAATACATAAAATTTTCGATCTCATAGTTTTATAATAGAATGTATATATAAACACAAATATTTTAACATTTAGCCAAATTTTAATTTATTTTATGCTTTTCCACAATATTAATATTCCAACTGCTTAAAAAGTCATCATTTGCTTTGTTAAAAGTACATTTGAATAAAAGGTTATATAATATTGAGTTTACCTTTCAGAATGATGAAGATAAAAGAAAGTTAGAGGATCAGATACGGACATTGAAATCTGGGAAAGAAGATATTGAAAGAAAATACATGTAAGACATTGCTAAGTGTTTTGCCAATACATTGAAGTAATGCATCAGTCATTAAAAAAAAACATTTGATAAATCAGTCATTGTTATAGATTTGATTGAGTGTTGATTGCTTAGAAAATGAAAGGATATGGAGTAAGTGTACATGGGACAAAATCGCACACAATACACAGAAAACATAGAAAATTATCAATGAACAGGGCTTTTATTCCTGTTCTTCATCTTGACAGTTGATGTAGGGTCTTCAACAATGAACGAATCATTCATACCCTACAACAAGGTCAAGACGGCCCCTAAATTTATTTTTTTTAAAGCAAATTCAAGAAGAGAACAAAATTTACATAAAAAATTAATACAAGTTGGGTAAGTTATTGTTAGAAATGGACCAAAAATTTTAACTCTCACTAGAAAATTAGGAATATTTGGTAGCAACAAGAAGTTTATAAAAAAAACACAACAGATTTAGAATGTTTGGTAAGAACAGGATATATACACCTTTTATAGCTGCTAAATGTTTTCCAATTCTTAGAAAAGGAGTCTTTTACATGCAGAGCTTGACTCTCATCTCCTTGCTGTCAACATTTACCCCACACAGCAGGATTGGAAAAGTGTGAATTGATGAAACCAGAAGAATATTAAATGACATATATATATATATATTTATATATATAATGGTTGAATGCAGTATCATCAAACGTTGTAGAATAACTGAAAGAAATATAAAAAAAATCTATTGAAACAATATTTAAATAGTTCAGGATCCTGAATGTTGTACTTTTTGATGACAAATTATATGTTTCGAATTTTAGGCAGGCAGTGCAGAGTTTAGATAGGCTGAACTCAGAAGAAGGAAAGATAAGACTAGAAAGAAGTGAACTTGAAAGAAAAGTAGCTCTTATTCAACATGATCTTAAAGAGGTATCAGTTTGTCTATCAATATTTTATATACATTTCAAACATGTGATGCTTAGTTATATAGGAAAACTACATTGTTTTTTCATCACCTGCAAACAAGGTTTTGGGGGTATATAGGAATTGCCTTATGCATCTGTCTGTCAGTGTGCCATATAAGTGCAACTCTTCTTAAACTGCTTGACAGATATTGATGAAACTTTACAGTTGTAGAACATTACCTGGGGATGTGCATAATGGAAAATAATTCCAGTCCCACATGTTAAAGGGAAAATAATTGATATATAAGCAATTCATATATGGTTTGCAAATGATTCACAAATTCACAAAGAATTATTATTTTAATCTATTTACTTGGAAAACGTATTTTGGCCACTGGATGGAGAGTGTATTGTTGTGGAGCCTGCGACTTTTGTTGCAGAAAGCTCGACATAGGGATAGTGATCCGGCGGCGGCGTTAGCTAACTTCTTAAAAGCTTTATATTTTAGAAGCTAGAAGACCTGGATGCTTCATACTTTGTATATAGATGCTTTATGTTACGAAGTTTCCGTCTGTCATATGTCCATTGTCCTTGACCTCATTTTCATGGTTCAGTGACTACTTGAAAAAAAAGTCAACATTTTTTGTAATGTTAATGTCTTTCTTGTTATGAGTAATAGGATAACTATATTTAGTATGTGCGTACCTTGCAAGGTCCTCATGCCCATCAGACAATTTTCATTTGACCTCGACGTCATTTCATGGATCAGTGAACAAGGTTAAGTCTTCGTGGTCAAGTCCATATATCAGATACTATAAGCAGTAGGTCTACTATATTTGGTATATGGAATGATTGTAAGGTGTACATGTCCAACTGGTAGGTGTCATCTGACCTTGACCTCATTTTCATGGTTCAGTGGTCAAAGTTAAGTTTTTGAGTTTTGGTCTTTTTTTCTAATACTATAGGCAATAGGTCAACTATATTTGGTGTATGGAAATATTTTATGATGTACATGTCAATCTCGCAGGTTTTATTTGACCTTGACCTCATTTTCACGGTTCATTTCTCAGTGTTAAGTTTTTGTGTTTTGGTCTGTTTTTCTTCAACTATAAGCATCAGATCAACTATATTTGTTGTATGGAAGGATTGTAAGGTGTATATGTCTGTCTGGCAGGTATCATCTGACCTTGACCTCATTTTCATTGTTCATTGGTCAATGTTAAGTTTTCATGGTTAAGTTTGTTTCTTAGATACTATAAGCAATAGGTCAACTATATTTAATGCATACATTGATTGTAAGGTGTACATGTCTGTCTGGCATGGTTCATCTGACCTTGACCTCATTTTCATGGTTCATTGGTCAATGTTAAGTTTTCTTGGTTAAGACTGTTTCTTAGAAACTATAAGCAATAGGTCAAGTATGTTTGGTTTATTGAATGATTGTAAGGTGTACATGTGTTTCTCGTTTGGTTTATCTGACCTTGACCTCATTTTCTTGGATCATGTTAAGTTCATGTGTTACTTGTAGTAAAGCTTTATATTTAGGACTATCAACATAAAATCAATGGTTAGTAAAGAAGGCGAGACATTTCAGCGTGTGCACTCTTGTTATTTAAACTTACAAACCATTTCATAAAACTCACCTATTGTCTCATCCTGAACATGCATAAAATATTTGCCACTGGATGTTAAGCAACAATCAATCAATCACCTATTGACAGAATCAGAATTTGACTTTTAAATGTGTAAAAGATGTTAATCCTGGACAAAATATACTATTTCATTAACTGCAAACCATGACTATTAGATTTAAAAAATTATTTATAGTACAAGAGAAACTCAATATTTTTCTTGTAAAATTTTAAGAACATCTGGTTTGAAGTTACTTTCAAATACATAATTGTGTCATTAAACTAAGACCTATTTAGAAATGTGAGCCATTGCAACACAAACAATTAGAATAGAGAATGGAAACAGGGAATGTGTCAAAGAGACAACAACCTGACCAAAGAGCAGAAAGCAGCCCAGTGCCACCAATAGGTCTTCAAAGCAGTGAGAAAATCCCGCACTTGGAAGCGGGCTTCAGCTAGCCCCTAAACACTAATGTATACTAGTTCAGTGAAATGGGAGCCATTCTAAGCTCAAAAACATATAAATGAACCAAAATTTGAAAAAAACACACAATATAACAAAGGCTAGAGGTTCCTGACTTGGGAGAGGCACAAAAATGTGCCCAGGTTAAACATGGTTTTGTGAGATCTCAATTATCCCCCTATACCTCTAGCCAATGTTGAATAAACAAACACAGCAATATGCACAGTAAAACTCAGTTTAAAAGAAGTCTGAGTCCAATGTTAGAATAGGTAACAGAAGAAACTATGCAAAATGACAATGGTAACATAAATTTCCTTGTTCAAACTAATAAATACAACAAAGTACATAATAAAGTTTGTTTTGTAATAGAAGTGATTTATTGTAGCAAATCCTAAAACAATCTTATAACTTTCAGACACAAAGAAAATTGGACAATGAATTTGAGAATAAAAGAAAACTTGAAATGATGATAAGGGAGAAAGAAAAATTACTGGACAGTGAGATGAGTGCAAGGAAAGAATTATCTAGTAATAAAATGCACAATCATGAAAAAGTAGCCACTCTAGAGAAATCGGTAAGTAATGTTAGTTAGCTATGTGAAGTAGAGAAATCGGTAAGTAATGTTAGACAGTTAGTTAGCTATGTGAAGTAGAGAAATCGGTAAGTAATGTTAGTTAGCTATGTGAAGTAGAGAAATCGGTTAGTAATGTTAGTTAGCTATGTGAAGTAGAGAAATCGGTAAGTAATGTTAGTTAGCTATGTGAAGTAGAGAAATCAGTAAGTAATGTTAGTTAGCTATGTGAAGTAGAGAAATCGGTAAGTAATGTTAGTTAGCTATGTGAAGTAGAGAAATTGGTAAGTAATGTTAGTTAGCTATGTGAAGTAGAGAAATCGGTAAGTAATATTAGTTAGCTATGTGAAGTAGAGAAATCAGTAAGTAATGTTAGTGAGCTATGTGAAGTAAAGAAATCGGTAAGTAATGTTAGTTAGCTATGTGAAGTGAATATTTGTGTCAATCACACCAGGGCAGGTATTTATCTTTATTCTGATGCCATTCTTGATTGATAGACATAATAAACAGTAATACACAGAACAAAACGTCTTTTAAAATGGTGAATTTTTTAATCTCGTTTTTTAAAACTATAAATGAAATTGTTTATTTAAGAAATAATTCATGCAAGCCATAGATTTATTGGAAATTTTCACTTGGCTTGGGCTGTTATATTCGAATATTATCTCTAGTGTGAGCAAGGGATAAAATTTACAAATATAACGGCCCAGGCCATGTGAAAATGATAACAAATCTATGGCTTGCATGAATTATTTCGATTCTAATAGGACAAATACGGTAAAAACTGAAGCGAAGGTAAGATTGCCGTGTGTATGGCTGTTCTATTTTACCCCTTGTAAGATAAAAGCTACAAATTTCAAATAAATCTAATGCTTGCATGAATTATTTCTTAAATAACCACTATAAAAATGTGTTCAATCATTATAATTTTTAACTCAAACATTTTTTCCTTGGCTACTATTTACTGTCAAATCCACAGTTGACATGTCGTAACTAAGGAGTGAGCTGCCATGTTGACTTGCTGAAATCCATGAATGTGGGATTGATGCAATAGAATAGAAAATGAAACAACGCCTACCTCAAAACTCCATTTTAATGCGATATTATCCGAATTTAGAGCGTACACGTAACGGAATAATCTTCAGCTTAAGAGTTTTCATTCATATGACGTCATTTCAACTCTGCGCTAAGTATAGATGTATCGAGAATTTAATCACGCTGTTGTTTACAAAGCGAAAGAAGCACATCATATTAGAATTGTTTGTATCATTTAATGCAGTCTGATCAAGGAATTTGAAATAAATTGCCCAAGTAGAGCATGTAGTTTGTAGTTACTTTGTATAGAATTAATTCACATTGTGTGTTACATGTAAAATGTAATTAGTAAGAGACAGGAATTATATTATTGAATTGAATTTTGTAATTGATGGGAATAGTATTATCATTCTAAACTTGATTTTTATTTATATCTGTAAATGACATTAACAGGTGAAGCTTTCAAAAATAATATTTTACAGATTGCTGACCTGAATGAGAAGTTGCAGTTGGAATCAGAAATGGCCGCTAGGTTTAAAAAATCCTACTCAGAATTACAACAGGTACTTATCAATGTTTGAATGTGAAAAAAGATAGATTTTTTCTTTGATAACATTTGTTTAATCACAATGTTCAGTGGCAGAAAATAAAACCTTGTTTCTATTTGTGGGAGCTTTTTCAATAGTTTGATATACTGATTTTTTTTTACATCAAATTTTGACGGAGTTTTTTTCTTTGAATTTATATAAAAGAAGCAAATTTACTGCATTTTATGGTATCTAAATTAATAAAAGAATAATTTTCCTTTTACCTGAATTCAAAAATGATATAAACGTCTTTTAGAAATATAGTGTTTTTGTTGTTGAATGCTTACATTTTAAAAAAAATCTTGTATTTTCAGAGATATAATTTATCAGAAAAAAATTACAACGAACTGAATTACAAGTATAATGAAATACAAAATATAAAGCTGTCTTTAGAGAAAGAGGTGATGACTTTACAAGATAGCTTGGACCATGAAATGAGCAGTAGGAACCATGCATCAGAAGAAACATTGGAACTTCAAGGTTAGTTTAAATCACTACGTACCTGATTTAATTGCGTCATTGTGGTAAGGTGGAAACAATTTGTTAGTATTTATCTTGTATACAGATGCATAAATTACCAACCACTTTTAAGTCAGTAGTGGGATGAAATCTGTGCTCAGGTTATTTAAAAAAATATATTTTCCAGTATTAAATACCTAGGATATTCTTGGGTCTGCATACTTAAAGAACATTTTTCCCATTTCAAAATCCTTTCTATTGAAGTGCTTTTTTTTCCAGATTGTATCACTACTAAAAAACATAGTGCATTGAGCACAACATTCTGTATGTCCTATCCATGAACATTTTAAGATATTTATCAATGAAATATATACTGTGTCCTATCCATGAACATTTTAAGATATTTATCAATGAAATATATACTGTGTCCTATCCATGAACATTTTAAGATATTTATCAATGAAATATATACTGTAAGTATATAACCGTACTTTAAATTACATAAATTGTGCATGCGGTATGAATCTAGTATCTTCTAAAAATATCAATGATGTCATTGTTAAAGTAATATTTAAAATTGGAGTTATCTGCCTTTGTCAATAATTGTGTTGAACCAATTACCATTAATGACAAAGGAAGAATATTGCTTAATACTTAAGGTAGATCATAGGTATATGTTTCCCCGAGATAGAATTTTCTTATACTTATTACTGCCAAATTGAAGATTTTATTATGCTCTTTTCAAAAATATAATAAAAAGGATGGGTCACCGTGCTATTTTTCAAGCTATGAGATGTTGAAAATTGCCTAAATTTGCTTAGAATGATCATGAAAAAACACATTTTTGTGCATAAAAAGAAATCTATGAGATAGAATATTGAAATAAATTGTGAGAAGATAGGTTTTATAATATGTTTTAAGAAAATAAAAAGAAAAAATGGTGTCACCGAACTTGTTTTCTTGCTACAAGTAAAAATTAAAAATTTCCCTATCATTCCAGTATAAATTTTTACTAAAAGAGTTATTTCCCCTTAAATAGCTTAGTTGAAAAATTTGATTCTAAAACACAAATGTTTTGTATTTGTTTAAATATTTTGGATAATTCAATAAATCATTAAGTTTTCTTCATATAAATAAACAGTCTAACCCATAAAATTGCACATCTGTCTACAAATTTGCAGATTTGAGCAAATAACTAGACTGATTGTGTACTGTGATTGTACAATCCAAGATGGCGGTATACCATGAATCTACCTTAATTCAATGCAATGTTTAATTTTTAGTTCCAATGGGAAAATGAATGCAATCTTTATCTTTCAGTGCTCACAAGCACTTTGATTTATTTGTTTATTTTTAGAAAAAGTAAGAGGATTACAGATGGAAAAACAAAAAGCAGAAGAAAAAGAAAGAATTACCAATAAAGAAATCCAGCGGTTACAGGAAAGGATAGTTAAGTTAGAAAAGGTGAGTTCATTCTGAATTTTTATATTACATTTTCTGAAAAATCTTCTTTTTTTTTTTTTTTATCATACTCCCCCTTAAAAGTTCAAGGAAGCATATAATACTGCTTTATAAAAATAAGATGTGGTATCATTGCCAAAATGAGAAATCTCCACCAGAGACCAAATAGTGTAGAAGTTAGCAACTATAGGTCAACATACAGCCTTCAACAATGAGCAAAACCCATACTGCAGAGCAAACTATTAAAGGCCCTGACATGACAAATGTAAAACAATTCAAGCTAGAAAATTAAAAGCCTGATTTATGTACAAAACAATAAACAAAGACAAATATTATACACAGCAACAAATGACAACCACTGAATTACAGACTAACTTGGGACAGGCAAACATGCAGAAGGTAGCAAGATTATACATGTTTGCTGGCACCCAACCCTCCCCTCACCTGGGACAGTGGTGTAACAGCACAATGTTAAAAACAAATTTAAAAAATCAATTAAATAGGGCTTAACTCATCAGATCCATACAAAGCACAAAAACTACTAACTAAACCATTAAAGACACAAAGTAGATATCTGAGTATCAAGTGAACCTGGCTTGGAAAACCAAAAATATGTAATCATAGGTGAAGAGAGAAATGTTTATTGGTGTGAGCTAGAGTTCTGATGGAATTTTTTCTCGGGTATAAACGACTTGTTAAAAAGGGGGGATAAGTGGAAACAGCTAATAAACGAAGAGGTCTGGACTATCGGAAATAATTTAGATATCGAAAATAACTTTCAGGTATGTACTCTTTTATTTTTTAATTGTAATTGTTTTTTTATGATCTATCTCTTGCAGAGAAATGAAGATCTTAAGAATAAGGAGAGCTTCACCACCAATCTCTTTGCCTTGTTTCTTCCTTTACCCACTCTTGAAGGCCTTAGTAGATATGTGATGAATTTGAAAGCACTATCACTAGGGGAACCCCTGCCAATTTTTATACGACCGCAAAAATTAAAAATTTTTTGGTCGTATATTGGTATGACGTTGGCGTCGTCGTCGTCGTTGTCGGCGTCGTCCGAAGACACATTGGTTTTCGCACTCTAACTTTAGTTTAAGTGAATGGATCTCCATGAAATTTTACCATAAGGTTCAATACCACGAAAGGAAGGTTGGGATTGATTATGGGGGTTATGGTACCAACAGTTAAGGAATTAGGGGCCAAAAATAAGCATTTTTGTAACTTCCAGACAATAACTTGTGTGTAAGCGTATGGATCTCTCTGACATTGTACCACAAGGTTCCATATCACAAAGGGAAGGCTGTAATTGATTTTGGGGGTAATTGCCTCAAAATTTTAGAAATTAGGGGCCAAAAAAGGGGCAAAAAACAAGCATTTTTCTAGTTTCATGACAATAACTTGTGTGTAAGTGTTTGGATATTTCTGAAATTGTACTGCAAGGTTCCATATCACAAAGGGAAAGCTGGAATTGAGTTTTGGGGTAATTGCCCGAAACGTTTAGGAATTGGGGGCCAAAAATAAGCATTTTTCTAGTTTCCAGACAATAACTTGTGTTCAAGTGTATGGATCTCTCTGAAATTGTACTGCAAGGTACCATACCACAAAGGGAAGGCTGGGATTGAGTTTGGGGGTGATGAATCATAAGGGGGTTCAAAAAATTTGGGGGGGGGGATTTTTTTTTTTTCTTTTTTTTTCTTTTTTTTTTTCATTTTTTTTTTTCTTTTAAAATTTTCCATTTTAAGTTGGTTATTTCTGATTTATATTTAAAAGCAAATAATAATGATATGGTAGGAGATACACACCAAACAGGATGTGTAAATTATTATATAATAAGTATTGTGCAATAGCAAGAAATTTTCAATTGCACAGTATTGCACAATAGCAAGAAATCTTCAATTGCACAGTATTGCGCAATAGCAAGAAATCTTCAATTGCACAGTATTGCGCAATAGCAAGAAATATCCAATAGCACAATATTGCGCAATAGCAAGAAATTGTCAATTGTACAGTATTGCGCAATAGCAAGAAATATTCAATTGCACAGTATTGTGCAAAAGAAGATACTTCGTATAAATTGCTTATTTCTTGATCAATTTCAATGGGGTTTTATTCTTGAATTCTTGGGGTTCTTTAATATGCTGAATCTAACCGTGTATTAAGTTTTTGGATTTTGGGCCCCGTTTTTAAATTGGTCCACATTGAGGTCCAAAGGGTCCAAAATTTAACTTTGTTTGATTTCATCAAAAATTGAATTATTGGGGTTCTTTGATATGCCGAATCTAACCGTGTATTTAGATTCTTAATTTTTAGTTCCGTTTTCAAATTGGTCTACATTAAACTTAGTTTGATTTTAACAAAAATTGAATTTTTAGGGTTCTTTGATATGCTGAATCTAAACATGTATTTAGATTTTTGATTATGGGCCCAGTTTTCAAGTTGGTCCAAATCGGGGTCCAAAATTAAACTTTGTTTAATTTCAACAAAAATTGAATATATGGGGTTCTTTGATATGCTGAATCTAACCATGTATTTAGATTTTTGATTTTTGGGCCCCGTTATCAACTTTGTCCACATTGAGGTCAAAGGGGTCCAAAATTAAACTTTGTTTGATTTCATCAAAAATTGAATTCTTGGGGTTCTTTGATATGCTGAATCTAACCATGTATTTAGATTTTGGATATTGGACCATAATAGGTGAATGTCCAATTTAAAATTTTTAAGTTCTTAGACCACATTCATTCTGTGTCAGAAACCTATGCTGTGTCAAATATTTAATCACAATCCAAGTTCAGAGCTGTATCAAGTTTGAATGTTGTGTCCATACTTGCCCCAACTGTTCAGGGTTCGACCTCTGCGGTCGTATCAAGCTGCGCCCTGCGGAGCATTTTATTTTTAAAAGGGGAGCAGGTGGGAATTAAAAAAAAAATTATAGGAAACACCTTGTCCATTTTAAATATTATATCATGAGATACCCAGGACCGAAAATAAAATTATTTTTCCTATAGTACAATTGAACCCAAATGATAAAACCTATCTCATACTTTTTGTTTTTTTGGCCAGACCACTACAGTTGGGGCAAGCAGGACTCCCTTGAAAAACTTGTAATCCGAATTATTTGGATGATTTCAGTAAAATTTGAAAAGCTGTTCACCTTAATTATATTAAATTCAAACTGGGAATAACTAGGTCAATATATTATTTCCCAGATTCAAATGTTTATTTGAGTGATAGGAAATTCTTTTTGATAAACATAGCTACTATTATCATATCAACCTATCAGAATCTTCGTATTCAATCGCCTATTTTCGTAACAAATCCATTATCTTGTCTAAGGGTATATTGGCATTGGTCAAACCTAGTCTGGGTTTCAGTGTATTGTTCGTTAAACCCTGCTGCCTTTATGCGGTACCAGTTTAAAAAATATAAACCTGCACGATTAATCCGCAAACTCTGATTAGCGAAAGCGAAAATAATCATGCTCTGGGCTAGCAAGGTTTTTCGGAAAATTCTTCCCCTGCTAGAAATAAGAGACCAGTAGTCAAGCTGAGAGAAATACTAAGGACAAACAAAAAAAACTCGTTCAAAAAACAAATACTCGTCAATTTTATATTTTTCACAAAATGATTTATTAAGGTACAAGAAACATTCTTTTGCTTTTCTCCAAACCTGACAATATAAAATAAATATCTTTGTTAAAACTTTCAAAAGTCCAGGATTTAAACAAAATATATAACTGGATTTCAGAAAAAAAAATCTTACACAAGTCAAACTGGAGTATAAGATGACTCTTGTCAACTTTCTGAAAAACGATATCGACTTATCCTACGAAAAATATGGTAGTGATATCTTTTGCTCCTGTGTGTTAGAATATATCTTATCCTGCATGCAGGAAACTTTATTAGGTGTCAAAAATAAGTTTTACAATTGTATATAATCCATCAGATTAAATGAAACTCACATTAATTGCAACATTTTAGAATTAAACATTTTTTTATTCAATTTTATGCATGGTGGGTACATTTATCACTTTTATTTTGTCCATGGTGGAAGTAGTAGGTAATTAAAATTGATGCATGGTGGGTGCAAAAAAGAAGTGCCTTCCAACCCCCCCTGCACTAATAAAAAGAACTTTAAGATTAAATATTTTATTTCAGAGTAAAAATAATTTGGAACTGGAATTAGACACATATAAAAAGAAGTTTACCGATGAGAAAAATGCTCATCAAACAACAATAGATCGATTTAATGCTGATAAGAAAACCATCAAGGAAACTACTGAAACTACAACATTAAGTGCTATTAAAGGTTTGTTATTAAATCTTAATGTCTCATTTCTGTAGATAAATCATTTTTCCAGTAAAAATTGTTGCATGGCATTACGACCAATTTAGGATCTTTTGATAAAAACTGTAAATTTCAGAGCTTTGTATATGAAATTGCTATAAAAATTAAGGGGTAAAATATGGCTATTAATAAAATTTCTTTAAGTGGAATTTTTATTTAAAAAGAAAAGAAAAAAATGTGGAATGAGTCTGAAATTTTAGTGGAGTTAAGTAACATTCGTAATTGAGAGTACACTTGTACTTTGTAAATTTTATAATGAAAATAATTTGTATACATGTATATTAAACAGTATTTGCAATTCTAATTTTTCTAGATATACAGATAAAGTTGGAACAGGAGAAAACTGCACGACAATCAGCTGAGACAAGATTGTTGGAAGTAGAGAAATATAAGGCTGATTTATCTGTAGATATCAATCAGTGTGAACAACAACTCGCAAATCTACAGAATGAATATAGAAATGAAAGGGACAAGGTAAGATCATCCCAACAATTGGTCTATCAATTAAGAACAGCCTTACTTGTTTGAAGATACAACAGTCCAGTAGACTGTGTTTCAATTCTATTTTTAGAAGTCTGTGATCTGTCATGTTTGTAATACTTTTATCAAACACTACATTTTTTTCAACATATGCGGAGGAAAGATACATTGCATACTGAAATTTTGCAGGACCCAAACATAATCTGAAGTCTATTTCAAGTTGTTTCTATCTTAAATTTTTTACCACACCATTGAACAGATGATCAGATACTTCCTGAAAAATGTTAAGAGCCTATTAGAAAGCTGGTGTGTTTTCCTTAAATAACTAAAAAATGGTAAAAAAAAAAAAAGAAGGTGGTTTCATCATTACAGTATACTATATAGATATTTTGGTTTTATTTTGCAGTCCAAAAATCTATCATTACAAGTTGAGCAAGAAATACAGAGAAGAAATTTAATGCAGTCTGACTTTAAAGCCCAGGCTGTTGAATTAGCTCGATATAAAACAATAGAAAAACAGCTTAATAAGGTATGGTTATAGAAAACATAGGCTAATGAATTAGTTTAAAAAAAAAATAGAAAAACCTTTTACTTGGGTAAGATTTTATAAAGTAGAGGCTACTGAAGTAGATATAAAACATTTTAAAAACAACTAGATAAATTTAGTTATATCTGGAACAATTAAAATAAGAGCACTTTACTCAGGCATAATATATATAGTTGTACCTTTATTTCAATTAAAGTAACAGGCAACATTAATAAATATTTATTCTACATTTTTCTATCTAGTATTTCAAAAAAACAGTAATCAGAAAAACAGAAAAAAAACAACATTTCTATGATTTTGTTTTCAGGAAATAGCTGATTTAAAAGAAGCATCAAGAAGTTCAGAATCAGAAATCAGAAAGTTAAGAGAGTAAGTTTAGCTTGATAATTAAATTATGAATGTTTAGTGATATTCCAGACAGTTTCATTTTCTTCAGAAATATACGTTATTATCAGTGATACCATGTAGAATTCACTTAGTCCTGTTTTAAAGGGGGGGGGGGGGGGGGGGGGGGGACCCCTGAGTCAGAACATTGTAACATTGATGTTGGTTGTTTTTTTATTTCTGTCTGTTTGTAATGGTATTCAAAAATGCTGTTAATCAGTAAGAGGTAGCTTAAAGAGTTTTCAAATCAAAACAGATTTATTCTTTTAGTTCATTAGTCTGGACAAGTTGAATCGTTTTTTTTTTCACATTTGTGGAATATATATCAGGATACCTTTAAAAAGACATATTAACATTTTACTTTCCAGGGACCTTTCAGTTAATGAATTACAAATGAAAGAATTACAGGACCAGTTAGAAGCTGAACAGTATTTTTCAGTAAGTTTTGACTCACGCAAAAGTAAATGAACTTTAACAAAAGCCTTTTTTCATGGATTCCGAATATTTGAGTGTGTGAGAAATTCAATAAAATCAATGGTTTTGGATTGCACAAAATCTAATTGATTTGAAATTAAAAATTTGGTTGGCTATACAAATTCTTAATTTTAATTAGCCATAAGAATAATTGCTCAATGAGTAAAAATACTTTCACTGTTGCTACAGCTTTATATAGGTGTCAAATTGATATAGATTTAGATAAATACGTAAAAATTATAAAAGGTACTCATAATTTGTTGGGTTGTGTAGATAGTATTTATAAGAATTCCAGGAAATTTATTAAAACTACTATTTGATATGAGGTAATTTATTGAACCAAGACATAGAAATTCTAAATTGTTTTCTAAGTGAAGGCAATAAAACATGAGTTGGCGTAATAAAATGCCTCACTTGCTACAATTTTTGAAATATTTTGATGCCAAGAGTTCAGATGCACATGTACTCTAATATAAAGGAGGTTTCACACAAAATTTGGTTTACCTTAGAAGATAAAAATGAGGTCATATATATATGTGTGTAATATGGAAACAGGGAATTCGTCAAAGAGACAACCCCACCAAACAGCAGAAAACAGCCCAAGGCCACCAATGGGTCTTTAAAACAGCTAGAAAATACTTCACCCGGAGGCGGGCTTCAGCTGGACCCTAAACAATAATGTATACTAGTTCAGCGAAAATGGACGTCACACTAAACTTCGAAACATATAAATGAACAAAAATTAAAAAAACATACAAGACTAACAAAGGCCAGAGGCTCCTGTAATGGGACAGGTGCAAAAATGCGACGGGGTTAAACATTTTTTGTGAGATCTCAACACTCCCCTATACCTCTAGCCAATGTGGAATAAACAAACACACAGCAATACGCACAGTAAAATTCGATTCAAAAGAATTCCGAGTCCCATGTTAAAATAGTTAACAGAAGAAACTAAGCAAAATGACAATATTCAACATAAATTAACAAAGGACTACTAGCAGTTACTAATATGCCAGCTCCAGACCTCAATTAAACTGATTGAAAGATTATGTCTTCATCATATGAAAATCAAGCACAATCCCTCCTGTTAGGGGTTAAGTATCCTACCATCATAAAATATAAGATATAAGAACATTGCCCGTATATTCCATGACAATAACAACTTTATTTTCCAGTCATTATACAGAACACAAGTGAAAGAATTAAAGGATGATGTAGAAGAGAAAAATAAAAGTTATGAAGACATACAAACAGATCTAATAGCATTAGAGGAGGAAAAGTAAGCTGCCAATCTTATTATTAAGCATCATACAAGATAAGGCAGCTTTTGGGTTGTTGTTTTGTTTTATTTTGGGGGGAGGGGGTTTGAAGCATTTATTATCTTTTTCTAGTGAGACAGTAGAAAGAAGTTATTTCTAGCTCACCTTCAAATGGACAGTAAACTGTACATTACAATTAACTGTTGTTTTTATATTTGTTTCAGATTTTTTTTTGTAAATATGCATTCCAGTATAATTGTTATTAATTAAGATCATCGCCAATTCTAATTTAAATATTAAAACTTTATTAAATGTGCGGTGAAAAAGAAGTAAGTTTTTACAAGTCAAACATGTGCTTTATTTTATATGTAATGCCCATGTGTGAAATGTCTTCACAGGATTAAACACTTAATGGTAAATTGCAAAATAATTTCATGCTAATTGAAAGGAGTGTAACAATTGTCAGTTCAAACACTTTTACGAGTAATAAAATTAAAAATACGATGATTTTATTAAACAGAACAAATCCTGTAAATGAATCCGAAATCAATCCTAATTTAGTATTAACTTGATTCTTCCGTTTCCTATTTAGTTTTCAAAATTGATGGAAGCATTGGAGATACCTGAGAAATTTTGTGTTATTAAAATCATTTTAAACTTTTGCATTCCATATCAATCATAAACTTTTGCATTCCATAAATTGTTCTTGAACATTTTCAGAAAAACAATAAGCAACTTCATGAAGTAAATATGATGAAATCAGTCCAATACAAGTTAATTGATGCCATTAATCGAGCGTAAATAATTTTGACAGTTTGAATAAAAGACCCAAACTTTCAAGTCATTTCAAAATGACCAAAATTTTGTGAAAAAATTTCCAGATCCTTGGTTCCTTATTATAAATGAATAACTTTTAATTGTATTACAAAATAAAAATGATAGATTTAAAAGAAATGTAATGTTTCAAATGTTATATCTGGTTTTGCTCATTTCAGGGACTCACTAGTCCAGCAGTTACAGTTAGCTCTTGCCAAAGCTGAATCAGAACATATAGCCTTAACAATAGCTGAAGAACAATTAGCAGATGTTGAGAAAGAAAAAACTGTGTTACGATTAGAAATAAAAGAATTAGTATCTCGACATAAAAATGAACTGAACAAAAAAGAAAATATGCTAGTTGCAGTGAGTATTCAGCTGTGTTAAGGATTAGATATTTAAGTATCGTGTCACACACAGAGAAATAGATTTAAAAAAGATATCAATTTATTGATTTTTCAAAAAACAAAAGAATAAATTGAACAAATAATAGAAATACTAGAATAAGTTTTGTGACCTATATTGATTTGAACAAGAAAGTATGCTAGCTACTATATATGGTCATGAAAATTTTATCTTGTATATTGAAGTGTCCTTAAAATTGATCATATTTGTAGAAGATCCAACTCACAATTTTATAATTTTGTATCAGATGAGTAAAATGAAAAATAGTGGATATGAAATATTTGAGATTATTTATCATACATAATAATTCTAGGAATGAATTTTATTTCAAAGATAGCTTTTATAGTTGATATTCATTTTAAAAAGTAAGTTTGAAATGCATGAACAGAAGAAAGTATTGAAAATTTATTCAAGAAGACATTATGATAAGTTACTTATATAAAATAATTGTGTTTATTGAAGAATAATTCTAACAAAATCACTGATAATTATATAATTTGTTTATTGTTTAGTCTGACGATAACTGTCGGGAATATTCAAAGAAAGTAGAACAGATACAGATGGAGAAAGATGATATCGTAAACAGAATGAAAAGTTTGCAGGATGGTGAGTTATATCAAATAAGCATATGAATAAATATACCCAAATTATTGAACAGATGTTAAACAATTCTAACAAAATATGAAAGACTTAGATTTTTACAATAGCAGAACCAAAAGAGACCAAGAAAAAATGATCCTATGAAAAACTGAATTGAATCAAGGTTGTTTATTCTGTAATGAAATATTGAAGAAGAAAATTCTCACTCAAACTAGTGGTGAGGCTAGAACACTTAGTATCTAGATCTGGGAAAATATATTGTGCAATTACCAGGAGTGAATTCCTAGTAAAAAAAAAAACCATTAGGGGATTTTATACATACTAAAACACTATTTTACATCTTGTTCAGACAAAAAACATTTGATATTTTGAAAAAAAAAATCTTTTTAGATTATCAAAATATGCAACAGAAGAGCGTTCCAGATAATGAACTTGATAAAATAAAGAAAAGTTTAGAAGAAGAAAGAATGAAAAAGATTCAGGTATACATGTATATATTATTTTAGACGAGGATAAAAAAAAGTGTAGATATAATGACATCTGTGAGAAAGTTTTATAATGGAATTATTTAGATATAACTAAAAACTGTTATTTACAGAAAAAAATAGATTTAAAAAAAAAACAAGAACAGGAGAGATTAGATAATAGATGAATATTTTCTATACATTTTTGGAAAATTTTGAAGAAAGAAGCTGAAATATTAAAAAAAAGATAGTGGAATAATTTTGTGTATGTTTTGTAAATAATATACCTATCATCTATGAATAAAATGTTTTAGGCTGTCAATAAGTTGGCAGAAATAATGAATAGGAAAGAATTCAGAAACCAGGGTAAAACTAAAAATGCTAACTCAGATCAGAGTGTGAAGAAAAAAGACAGAGAACTGAGAAAACTACAACAAGAGTTATTAATGGTAAGACTTACACACAAATACTTCTCAATATGTTAATGTCTTACCAACTTTTATGGGAAAATTCTACTTCTTTTTTGTGTTGTTGGGTTGAACCCTCATTGACCTATACCCAACATCTTCATTTGTTACTTATTTTGTTATTTGTACTAGCCATCTTTAAATGGTAGTTCTCTGTTAATTTGGAGTAATGAGCTCAGTAAGTAGATTTGAAATTATTTCTTCTCAATTTAGATGAATGTCTTGTACCTTTAACCAATTTGTTTTTGTTGTGTTGTGTCTTGAGGTCTCATTCTGAAATATTTCAGGAAAAAGAAAAATATAATAAAATGGTAGAAAAACATGGGCGTGATTTGTCTGAAACCCAGGCAGCTTTATATGATGAAGGACAACAAAAAGCTCATTTACAGATGGAATTAGATTCTAAAGATAGTGAAATAGAACAACTAAGACAAAAACTTGCCTATGGTAGTATTGATTCAACTTCAATCAACAGTATAACAATGGAAGATGGAGATGGGTCTGGTAAGCTGTGTACCTTATTGTTTGAAAAGTTATCCGACCATCAACCTTGAAATAAAGTTGGACTTACGATATTACTCATATTTATATTTTGTTATGATATAAAACAGTAATGATGAGTTACTGATTACACATACTAGTAATCACTTTTTAAAAGGCATATTGGAAAAAAATGGAATCTGGAAGCACTTGAGCAATAATTGTTTTGTATAGACAAGAGATACAGTTTGTTCTACCCAATTGTTATTTTCCCTTTCTTAAAAGTTGGTAATTGGCAAATAGACTATTGCACAGAACATTCCAGCAGATAAACTTTGGATAATCTCAAAATACTGACATCATCCAATCAAAATAACCATTACAAATGAAATTAATTAGAATCAGGCAGAATGATGTAAATCGTGCAAAAGTTTGGACCAAGACAAAGTCAACATTTTTTCCAGCTGTCTTTGTTCGTTAACATTTAAATTTAGAATTTATAAAAGTTGTGATTTTTTATTGGAAACAAATACTTAAAAAGATAATACAAGATACCGGTAATTTGATTGAAGGAATTGCATTTGTGAATTTCAGATGTGATATTAGAGGGTTGGTTAGCAGTTCCTAATAAATCTAATATTAAAAAATATGGTTGGAAAAAACAGTTTGTGGTAGTTAGCAGTCGGAAAGTGTTATTTTATAATACAGAAAATGATAAACAGAATTCTGATCCAGTCTTAGTATTAGATATAGAGTAAGTTTATTTTCTGTTTCTTATTGTTATATAAGTCAGGTTGATATATCTTTTAAACTGATATGTATATATTAAAATATTGCATAGTGATGTGAAAGGGAATTAACTTATTACATTTAACTGCATAACCAGAAATGACATAAATATGTGCAAATATTCTACATTACTGATATGGTGTGATTTTAATTGATTTCCAATAAAAATTTACCTTGAATGGTTGATGTTAATTAAGAAGACATTATAAAATAATATGCAAATATAAAAATTATGAATAGATGGAAAGCCGTACCTGCCAACCCTCCCGTTTTGAGTGGAAGTCTCCCACACAAACGACAAAATACTGAATATCTCCTGCTTACCAGTCTGCTGCCGTGCATGCATTTGGATATTTTAACCAAGAATGACCAGCATTTGTATTTCTCAGGATTTTTCATTACTGTCGATAGAAATGAGCAAACAATGGGCAATCATTTGAAAACTTTGGAGAGTAGTTATTATGTTCGATTTATATTAATGAGTAATTGAAAATCATTTCTGCCTTGTCAACGGGGTTTTTCTTTCAGAAACCAAAAGATAAATTTGACAACTTATCATGGCTGAAACTTTATTTAGTATTGAATTGAAGAAATAAAGTATATTTATTGACTCTTATTGGTGATTTGTAGATTTATATATTTAGCTTGCAAATGTCATTCGTTCAAAATCTCCCCCTCAGCTGTCATAGAGTAGGGGAGATCTCCCTCATTGAAGGTTTCAGAGGTTGCCAGGTATGTGCAAAGCTGTAGCAACACATAGGGATCATGTGTGTCATCTTGTGTTGTCATAATTCTGTGTGACAGAAGTTAACTAAACTCGCACACTTCTACTACAGAACATAAAGTTGTGCACCTGCTATTTTAATTTTTTCCCATACCAAATATTGACTTCACCATGTTGGCTTAACTACTGAATTGTGGTTTTGTAGAAAATTATTCCATGTGCGATCAGTGACACAGGGAGATGTATATAGAGCTGAAGCTAAGGATGTGCCAAGGATCTTTCAGGTTAGTCTTATGTTCAGTCTTACAGCATTTGAACATTTTTAATCCGGTTTTTTAAAGGCAGGTTAGAATGGACCACACCATATAATATAACAGAATATAACAACTTTTTTTAGAGGACAAATTTAAAATAGCTAAATTGGTTTTATTTGTGAATGTCTTGTATCTGTACTTTTGTGTTTTATAATTATGACCCACCAAAATATGAAGGATATTGAATACACAATCATAAATTGTCATACGGAAAAAAAGTCACACTGTTTATACAAATCTCATACCATATTTCATATATTCCAAATTAAAATCTTCAGAACATAACTTCACAATATATTTTAGTTTAAAGAGGACTCTGTTACAGTGAACAGAGTAAGAACTTAGTAATGTCAGGGACAGATTGATCTTGATGGTAACTACCCAGGGACCCTCTGATGGCAGGAAAAGACTTTAACGTTAACAGGAGTCGAGGACAATGGAACTGTTACAAATGACAATTGATAAAAATATTGGTTATTGAACACCATACCATTGTATTCATTATCCCTAAAAATAAAGGATAAATGAAATAATTTCGATCACAACACAGGGTTTTTTCCTGGTGTAAGCTCCTCCATTGTTAAATATTCATCCATGGAAATTCCTTGACATTATATATTTGGGAGAAATGAATGTGACATGAAAACTGATGATTTCATCATACAAAGAAAAGTTAACACTTTATCTTTATTTACTAACTTAAAGTTTATATCAAATATATGGTGTTATATGATGCCCTATATTATAAAAATATTCCTTATAAGTATCAGTTTCCAAATAGATAAGATGTATCTGGAATATTTTTTTGTAGGTGCTGTATGCCTCAGAAGGTGAAAATCGACGCCAGTCTGAAGTTCATGAAATTGCCCAACAAGTAAGCTAATATCAATCATATCGCTTTGTGTATATTATACATATTTCAATTAAATATATTCTAATTTATTGTGTCGCCTCAACCAAGTGGCAGAGGTGAGACTAAGGCATTTGTTGTTTTGGTGGCAGTGGTGAGACTTAGGGTTGTTGATTTGGTGGCAGCAGTGTCAACATCAACAATTTGTTTAAGTTTGGGATGAGGACAGTGAAACTACTTATAATAAATCAATAACAATTGATATACAGTTGTGTTAGTATCGGAACATCTCATTTCCATGGAGATATTTTCCCTGCACCCTAGTCATGGTCCTCTAAAAGTTTTGCTTAGTTTACTTGTCGTTACAATTTAAATTTAATACATTTGTATTATACTATCAAAATAGCATACAGACAATGACCCATCTCTGTGGAAACAGTTTATACTATCAAAATAGCCTACAGGCAATGACCCATCTCTGTGTAAACAGTTTATACTATCAATATAGCATACAGGCAATGACCCATCTCTGTGTAAACAGTTTATACTATCAAAATAGCATACAGGCAATGACCCATCTCTGTGTAAACAGTTTATACTATCAAAATAGCATACAGGCAATGACCCATCTCTGTGTAAACAGTTTATACTATCAAAATAGCATACAGGCAATGACCCATCTCTGTGTAAACAGTTTATACTATCAAAATAGCATACAGGCAATGACCCATCTCTGTGTAAACAGTTTATACTATCAATATAGCATACAGGCAATGACCCATCTCTATGACCCATCTCTGTGTAAACAGTTTATACGATCAAAATAGCATACATGCAATGACCCATCTCTGTGTAAACAGTTTATACTATCAAAATAGCATACAGACAATGACCCATCTCTGTGTAAACAGTTTATACTATCAAAATAGCATACAGGCAATGACCCATCTCTGTGGAAACAGTTTATACTATCAAAATAGCATACAGGCAATGACCCATCTCTGTGTAAACAGTTTATACTATCAATATAACATACAGGCAATGACCCATCTCTGTGTAAACAGTTTATTAACAAATTGAACACATACAAAGATAAGTTTTAAGAGAGATATCATCAATAAAAAGGAGACGAAGGTAAATGAAATGAACAAGAAAAAACTTGTACACGTAGATGGTCATATGGCCACATCCCTAAACCACATGTCAACCTGTAAATAGCTCTTTGTCTCAAGTTGTTTATGATTTCAATAGGGATGAGGAACAGTGATAACAGACAAAATTCCTGACCTGATATAGAATTTCTGACTTTGTGTATGGCATATAAATCTATCAATTCTCAAAAAAGGTTAAGTTCAACTACAATTAGAGACCAAGGAAAATAACACAATTCAAAATATTTCCTAAAAGTGTTCCATTGCAATTTAATGTTTAATTTTAAATTCACATTGCAAAATGAAAACAATCTTTACCCTCAGTGCTGACAAGAACTTTGATTTCCTTTTTTTCTCTATCACTTCTATCCATATCTTATTAGTTGATTCAAAGTGTTCTGTATACATATTATAACGATACATTGCAATGTAATGCTTCTACACACATAATTGAGATGAAATACTTTACTAATTTTTGTTTACAGGACAAGTCAGCTGTGATTAACTATAAAGGCCATGAGTTAATTCCCTTACATTATAGAACTCCTACAACCTGTGATGCTTGTAATAAACCAGTGTGGCATCTTGTCCATCCACCTCAAGCTCTGGAATGTAGACGTATGTTATTTTCTTTATAAAACAATACTGTATATTGTTCATCCACCTCAAGCTCTTGAATGTAGACATACTTTATTTCCTTCATAAAACAACTTTTGTATATTGTCCATCCACCTCAAATTCTGGAATGTAGATGTGATTTATTTTCTTTATACAATAAGGATGCATCTAGTCCATTCACCATAAGTCTCCTGAGAAGTTTAATCAGAATACATTTATGTATATATATATGCTACATTGGTTGTCTGCATAACTGAAACTGTAATCTATTTGTTGAAAAATATCTGCATATACCAAAGTGTGACAGAATTTTGATTTTGGTTGACTTTTTTTTCTTCACAAAACCTTGCACATCTTAGACTAGACCATTTGAAATAAGAATTAAACATCACTGTATGAGAAAACAATACTGAACATGTATAGTTCATAGCTGGACAGCAATATTTTGTTTGCCTAGTTATGGTTTTATTCTATGCATGTACTACCAAAAGGATGTTGGAGAAAACTTTGTCTTCTAAGCATTTTGAATTTGTAACTTGTAACTACTTGTTCCTGCTTTCAATAGAAAATGATATGGGTATATTTTTCTTTGCAGATTGTCATACAAAAGTACATAAAGATCATTTTGATAAAAATGAAGAATTCATCGGTTATTGTAAAGGTATGGCACTATAACAAGAAAGAGTTAATCAACCATAAAAATTATTAAAATTTGGCAATGAATAATATATTTTTTTTATTTCTGCATTTTGATTTACCAAGATATATCATTTCTGGAAGGATATAAACATCATAAGATAATCAGTTTAGAAAAAGTCAAAGTTTAAAACTTGTTTGTATAAAAAAAAAATCACTGAATTTTAAATACTGTATGAAAATTTGTAATTTATTTGGTTTATGAAATAGTGATAATTTTATATTTACAGTAAATTATGACCAAAATATACAAGCAAAGGAAATGTTGCTGTTAGCTGAAAGTACTGAAAAACAAAAACAATGGATACAGCATTTAAGTAAAAAGATAACAAAGAAAGGCATTGTTAGTTCAGGAAATTTGAGGTTAGTCTAAAGTTTTTAAAAATATAAAATGTGCTGTCAGTGGGTCTTGTGAAGATTTTGTAATTAATGGACAATTCCTTTTCAGTCCTGTAAAAGGCTTTGTTCTGAAACATGGAAGTATTGCAGTTAGAGCTGATTCCGTGTATGTCCTAACACTATTACTGGTGACAATAACAGTAGTTCAAACAACATGGCTTTGTCTACATGTGCTTGAAAAGTATTGCACTCTTTTTGTGGTTTTCGTGTTATTGTGCATAAAGCTTCACAATGTCCAGTCTTGTATGGACAATTGGACCACCTCTGTGGTATCATGGTAACATGCCGGCCTTGAGTGTGGAATGTTGTGTGTTTTGATCCTTGGCCAAGTCAAACCCAAAACTTAAAAAAATTTCTGCTTCTCCGCTATACATGCAGCATTTAGGAGTGAGAGCAAGGACTGCTTGGCTCAGAGTCTGAATATTGAGTCTGGGTAAGGTGACATGTCTTCCTGCAGACTGTTACCTTGGGAACTAGCAAATATCTGACTCAGCATGTCTGTCTAGTACTATTCAATGTTCAGATTTATATCTGATTAACATGTTCTTGTCCTGAATAAAAATTTAATTTGCCACTGGACATTTAACAGCCAAGTTTGAACAATTCCACCTTACAAGCACACTACTTCTGAAGATGGGGAGTTTTTGAAATTTTGGTTACTAATAAAGATATCAAGACCATATTTGGCTGTAAACAAATTTTCAGTTGTACCCAAAGATTTCATGGCATTTTTGTGCCCATACTTCCTCCATTTTTGGGCAAGTTTCTTTTATTGTTGAACTTGTTCATATCCTGCAATGCATACAGTATTTGCAACTGTATGTTAAGCAACGATAGTAAAATCTGCCTTTTATTCCCATTACGACAGTCTTTGATCAGAGGATATGTCATTTTGTTCATTTGAATGTCCTTTTTAAGTTTTGCATTTAAGTTCAGAGGAATGATATTTTGATGGTGGAAGTTTATATGACAAGTATGATTTTGAGAGCTCTTGTGTAAGAATCAATCTGATTAAAGAAATAATGAAGTGTCTGCCTTTTCCATCTTTAAGAAGACATTCTATTTCAGTGAAAATAAGAGTAGATCCCTAAACAGAAGGAACAGTAAACAAGGTAGGGACCAGCACTGTGGAGTTTAGTACACTTCCTTATTTATTTCCCTGTAGTGCCCTTAATATCAAAATATTTCTACGGAGTCCTTGTTATGTCTATACTAATGTGTACCTTTTCTTCAATTACAGCACTTTAAGAGGGACGAAGCAGTATTCTTCATTTGGACCACAAGGTCGTCAAGGTAGTGGTCCGAGAAATGCAGCCACATTACCTCCTAACTCACGTCCAGGATGATAGCTGTTGAGAAAGGACAAGGGAAATGGCAGTCAACCAAACAATATCTACACAAAGACTGAGTGGTGCCTCAACCTTATTTCTACCTTTAAATCTTCCATTGGACAAATCACCCATCTTCCAATAGTGCTTTGTGAAAAATGTGCTTTGTATTTTCAGCATTCATAATTTCCATATAATATTCTCTATTTATAATTCCTTAGTGGTGCTTTTTATACATTATATTTTGGGTTATTAGGTGATAAAGTTTGGGACTAATATTATTAATGCAATGCAATCACTGTCTCCCATGAATTATCTCCCTTTATAAGCTAGTCATTGATCAGTGTTCATTATGATCTGTTCACTTTTATAAAAACAAAAATGTCTCTGGTTTTTACTGTATATTTTAATTTTATGCAAACGGAACATAAAAACATGACTGACACTTCAAAGGAGAAGGTACACTTTGGGATCAAACATGACTGACAGGAGTCAAATTGACCCTAAATTCCAAGGTATTTCCAAAGTTCTTAACCTTGCAGAAATAAATGTTTAAGCTATGTACTTTAATAAAACATTTCAGTTTTGACTTAAATTATTTACTTGTTAGATGTAATAAAGCCATTAAATGACAAAAAAGTCAGTTTTATGTTGAAAAATGGTATAGAGCAAAACCTTAAGCAATTGAATTTACATGACCAAATAAGCCACAAAATGTACCTCCTTCAGTTATTGAAGTATCCCAATAATATTTTCCAGGCACACAGTGCCATTGTAAGCTATATTCATCACATGGCGTTCATTGTCTGTCATCGAATAACTTTACAAATAACTTCTCTGGAATTACAAAGCCAAATGCAGCCAAACTTGGGAACTAGAGTAGATAAAAAAAAACTGTAAACAGCAAAAAAAGATCAACATAAGATGATCTATATCTACAAATAGGTCAATATGATTGAAATAGTCGATAAACTCCTTACAGGAGTAGTTAACCCTAAATCATAGCTATAACCCTTTTATTTTTTCCTATTATCTTAAAAAATACAATGGATAGAGAAAAATCTTGTCCAGCAAAAATGATCAGCAAAAAATATCTTGTTCTGCACAAGTTCCTTATCTACTCAAATATTCTTGTTGCATATGATCAAGTTTTATGCAAAATGAAAGGTGAACAATACAGGCTTCTTGCAATCTCTTGTTCAACATATATATTTTGATTTTGATATTTATGATAGAAATTTTGATGGAGCAAGATTATGCATAAATCTGTTATATAAGGTGAAAATTTCTGTGATCTTTTTATAAAAAGGGTAATTTGTATTAAATGAAAGAAACCATACATCATTACTTAATTAAATCAAAAATTAATGTTCAGCTTGTTACTGTAGTCATTTAATAGTAGCTTAGGAAAGCCAGTATACATCATGTTGTTGCCACAGATATCATTTTGTATATTTAATAGACTTGCATACTGTATTTTATTATTAATTGTTAAATGTAATTTTTTATGGATTTCTTCAGAACACAAACCATATATACTTATATTCAGCAATTAAGAAGTTATAATTATTTTTAAGAAATCGATTTTAAATGGTACTTAGTATTACTGAACAGCAATATTTTGGTACCTAGTTTTCTCTGTTGATTCTACAGTATTTAAAAAGTCAGTTTGTTAAGAAACTTTCCATTAAATTATTTAAGATTATATTATTATTGATTTGTTATTGAAAAAATGCCCATGTATTGCATAGTTAGTACAAGTTATAGTACAGTAGTACCAGAAGTTTAGAAAGTGCTAGTTTAGCAGATCTGTTTCATGATGAATTTTTGTTGATCAGAATCTCTCGTTATTAATGATATTTATATAATTTGACCAATGTAAGTGTTCATATGTTAACTTATATGATGTAAATCCATTATATCATTATTACAATGATAGGAACATAATTCAATCATATCAGAGGGAGACTGTTTAACATATCTGATCTACTCTTAGTTATAGCTATGGTATATATTATGATTAATTACAACATTGTTTACATTAATATGGCTGATATTTGTTTCTGATACTGTCTCAGAGTAAACAACATACAGGTTTTGGTTAGAGACATTTCTAAACGTAAGAATTAATTTCCATTAATTAATGAAATAGTGCTATTTAATTTTCATGCTTACCATGATATAAACCTACACTAGTGCTAATTAATCTACTTTTTATGCTCTCAGATATTGTTGAATTATATTATTTGTCATTGATTTGTAAACTATGTAAATAGATATGTGTATATATTGTACATGTATATATAGTGTGTACATTTAGCAATATAAATGGTGCTGATTTGTTACAATCATGTAAGACAAATGCTCAGTTAAGGTTGTAATGGACAAGTGATAGCTTAAACACCTTCATTTGATAATCATCTTATTTGCTTGGCTTTTCCCTTCAATAGTTAATAATAAACAATAATAATTTGATAATGACATACAATTAGGTTTATGTTCTACACTACCAATGGAAACACAATTCTATCATATTAAAAATTAAATCTTATAAAGGACAGATTTATTTCATTTATATTTATCTCTGTAGTAATGCTAGTTCTAGAGAGATTGAAAACAAGTTTTATAAGGATATGTAGCTCAGTCAAATATAAAATAGGTAGAAGTTTTTCCTTTATATTCATAATTTTTTAATCATAAAAAAGGGCATTAGAATAATTATTAAAAAGTTTTTTGTTTTGGGAGGTTTCAGTTTTAGAGATAAAATTTTCATGCACTTTTTAAATATACTCAGGACAAGTCTATGTTTTCCTCAAATACTTGGCTTTGGTAATATTGCAATGTTTTGGTACCAATTCATAATTTTGCAATATTTGAAATACTGAGATTTTACAGTTTGCAAAAGAAGTTTCATCAAACCAAATTTACCTCTTAATATTTCTTTGTTAAGTGTGTTATTTTTGGCGTGTTTGTTTTTGTTTAGAGGTACTATTTTTTTAGTTGAAATTCCATCTAATTCTTAACCACTTTGATATGTATGTTTGTATGTAATGGAGTAAAATGAAGTTCTGTTCAATTCTTCACTTGGGTTGCTACCTTATTAACTGAAAGAAGTAATGACACTGTTGTAATTGTAAACCTTCCAATTATGTCTTTGCAGTCAAATCATTTTTGTCACATCATCTTTTGTATTCCAAACTATCATGCTATCAAACCAAATTGATCAATCAGTACAATATGTTATCCCACTTCTACAGGAAGACTTTAGCAAGTCAGATATTTTAGTTGTGCAAGTAAATGATTTTCATTATAACAATTCTGTAGTCACACTAAGTAGATATTGCAGCATATCCAATTTTCGGGAATTCCAAATAATACATACAAGCATTTTTAAATATTTACAGTGAATTCAAATGCAAAATTGTGAAGCAAACTAGCTACATACAAAAGAAATTAATAGCGAGCAGAAAGGAGTTCTTGTATCTTCAATCATGAAAACTTCATACATTTATATTACTTGTGACTAACATATCATTTATTCAACTGTAAAAATTCTCTTACCTTAGTATTATGTTTAACTTTGCTCATTGTCATCACTTCAAGGTCATTCCAGTAAACACTTGCTTACAAAGTCATCGCCATGGAGACCAAACTGCTGCTGATTTCTCATTGTTTCATGTACATTATCAAATATAACTGTTGAACCTGCTTTGTATTTAGTTGAAGTTGGAAATGAAATTGCTTATAATTTTAATGATAAAAGTAGTGAGTTTGAACAATAATACTATATATTTTTATATAATAAGTGTTGCGAATTATAAAAAAATATAAGACTAAGTACATATATCATAATTGAATATTTTGATCAAGTCATCCCAGTACCAGCATTATGATCTGGGAAAATTGAAGAGCCTTTTTGATTTTAATGATAAAGGTAATATGAATAGGTGATTTCATTTCCAGTGAAGACAACTACCTAGAACATATTTTTGAACATTCCTGTTAGTACCAAGTGCTACCATTGTGCTATGCATGCTGTATCATTATACCTTGTATATACTGATGTACATATTTATGTGAGCTTAATGGCTTCTAATTGCATCAACCATATTTTTTATACTTGTGACACACATTGTATATTCTGACAAACATGTTTTGCATATCACATGCAACATCAATAAAATTTAATGCTAATGATATTTAGTTGTTTTATTGATATGACTTCCTCTTGGAAAACCTTCAGGGGAAAGTTACAAGAGACCCATTGTTTACTACTCACATTGAAGTAATGGTTCAATGAAATGCAGTTGGTCTCGCTCCTTTTTTTTTTTTTTTTGTCTGTTTCCTTGTTATTTGTATAAAATTCTATTTATGCGATTTGAACATTGGTAAACTACTGTTGCTTAGATTTACTCCTCACATTAAAGTTTAGAAGATTGATTTGTCATTTTTGACAGGAATTCTTTGGTATTTTTTGCTCTTAATATTAAACTTCGAAATTTTGGGCAAGAATCTGTGTCTTCTTTCCATTGAACAAACAATTAAGCACATATGAACAACCCAAAAAATCTTAACCTTATAACTGATTTATAGATAGTCACTTGGTCTTTGCTGAATACTTGTTTAATATGTGTTCGTCAAAGTATCCAATAGAAAAGATGAGTCTTGTTAGATTTATGTTACTAACAGAATTTTAAGGTTTATAAAACCTACTAAATAGTATGATAGTTGTCATATTTGTGCAATTTTATTTTATGAAGGATGACAGATATCATCTAGATTTCTTAGTTAAGGACACATAATGGGAATATGATGACTTGTAAGTCTTTCATGCATAATCTGGTTTTCATAAAGGCTATTTATATATGAGATGAAAAGATGGTTAGTTCTTTACATATTGAGAGGACAATAATGGACCAAAGACTGGCACGAAACCAAGATTTTAGTGTAGTTCCAGTGAGCATAAACTATATTTCACAGTAAAACTAGATATGTTTATTTATCAAATTATGAGTATTTATGGTGGATTCTATTTCAAAATAGTGACAGTACTTTACATGCAAGTGCGGTCTTAATGAATTCGATCCAAACCATGGTTTATGTGAAAATGATGTGGGAAATAAGTTTCGTGTTTTTTTTCATGTTTAAGTTATTATTATTGACGTTAATTCATTTAAAAAAGAGGGACGAAAGATACCAGAGGGACAGTCAAACACATAGATCGAAAACAAACTGACAACGCCATGGCCAAAAATAAAAAGACAAATAGACAAATAATAGTACAGATGACACAACATAGAAAACTAAAGACTAAGCAACACGAACCCCACCAAAAACGGGGGGTGATCTCAGGTGCTCCGGAAGGGAATAACAAAAAACAAGGAAATATTTTTGAAAACATAATATATACAGAACCTTAAATACAGTGCTATAAAAGAGAGGCAAAAGATACAAAAGGGACATTCAAACTAATAAGTCACAAATAGACTGACAAAGTCATGGCAAAAAAAAAGAGAAAAAGACCAACAACAGTTTACAAAACACAACATAGAAAACTAAACACTGAGCAACATGAACCCCATCAAAAACTGGGAGATAACAGGTGCTCCTAAAGGGTATGCAGATCATGTTCCACATGTGGACCCGTCGTGTTGCTCGTGTTGGCAGAAACCCGAAGATAAGTCTAATTCGGTCGGTCACATTCGGGGAAAAGGAGGACAGGATTGGTTACGACGTTTGGAACACACCCGTCGTCATATTTGAAGCAGACATCGCGTCCCTTTTTCCCCAAATGTGACCTATCGAATTAAACTTACCACCGGGTTTGTACTAACATGAGCAACAAGAAAGGATACCACATGTGGAGCAGGATCTGCTAACCAATTTCAGAGCACCTGAGATCACTCCCAGTTTTTGGTGGGGTTTGTGTTGCTCAGTCTTTGGTTTCTATGTTGTGTTTTGTGTACTGTTCTTTGCCTGTTTGTCTTTTTCTTTTTTAGCCATGGCGTTGTCAGTTTATTTTAAACTTATGAGTTTGAAGGTCCCTTTGGTATCATTTGCCTCTCTTTTATTAGGTTCTACCAACTCAGGATGGCGTTCGTAAAATTTTCAAAGGGATGATTTCAACTTCACCAATTGGAACTCTTGGTTTAATAGCTTCCTTGTGAGCAGCAACCCTCTATCAATGAAATCATAATAGGAAACGCAAGCCCTGGAATATCGTTACAACTGGGAGATATATACTCCATATGCAGGTGCTGCTGGAATGTTGCACATCGGGAAGCTGAAATCATCTCTTTTGTCGTAAAGTTTTGCTTTCAACCGACCATCATTGTCAATTTCTAGATGTAAGTCAAGATATGAGGCAGACGAAACTGTATCTGTTGTATCTTTTATTTCATGTTCGATTGGATAGATGCGTTCAATATAAACTCATTATAGATAACAGGATTAAAATTTGGTACGCCAGACGCGGGTTTAACATAGTCAGCAAAATTTTAATTATTTTGTGAGAGGGCATCATCTACATAGCGGAAAGTGGAGTTCAGGATAATGCTTGCTAACTTTTCATTCTTCATAAGAAGCTCCTGTATGAAGCCAGCCTCATATCAAAAAAGGAACTAGTCAGCAAGAAGAGGAGCACAGCTGGTTCCCATGGGAAGGCGATTGTTTGTTGAAAAACACGTCCTCCAAACGTAACAAATATGTTGTCAATCAATATATCTATCATCTTGATAATGTCAGTTTCAGAGAACTTTTTGTTAGAATCAGATGCGATGTTAGTTATCGTTCTGGTCATCACATAGTAACTTAATTCATGTACTTATTACATAGATGGGAAATTTCTTACAACTTGATTGGACGAGTTGTGAATATATACTAAATTGGTTTGGCAATGCTTGGTAATATTTATGAACATTTAAAACGCTTTGCTGATGAATGTTTAAAATAACATAAACAAGTATTATCGAAGATACCAGAAAAATAGATATGTAAGTACTAGTATTCTTAAAAATGCAGTACATAAAAGTGATGTTGTGCTCACTATGTGAAATCTCCCTCTTATTCTTTAAAATGCAGTACATAAAAATGATGCTGTGCACACTATGTGACATCTCCCTCTTATTCTTTAAAATGCAGTTCATAAAAGTGACGCTGAGCACACTATGTGACATCTCCCTCTTATTCTTTAAAATGTAGTACATAAAAGTGATGCTGAGCACACTATGTGACATCTCCCTCTTATTCTTTAAAATGTAGTACATAAAAGTGATGCTGAGCACACTATGTGACATCTACCTCTTATTCTTTAAAATGCAGTACATAAAAGTGATGCTGTGCACACTATGTGACATCTCCCTCTTATTCTTTAAAATGCAGTACATCAAAGTGATGCTGTGCACACTATGTGACATCTCCCTCTTATTTCTTTAAAATGCAGTTCATAAAAGTGATGCTGTGCACACTATGTGACATCTCCCTCTTGTTTTTTAAAATGTAGTACATTAAAGTGATGCTGTGCATACTATGTGACATCTCCCTCTTGTCTTTTAAAATGTAGTACATTAAAGTGATGCTGTGCACACTATATGACATCATCTTCTTGTTTTTTAAAATGTAGTACATTAAAGTGATGCTGTGCACACTATGTGACATCTACCTTTTTTAGTTATCTGCTGTTATTTGTATGAATATTTGAAAATTTCTTGTCTGCCCTTTAACAAAATATCTTAGAGATTTTTATAGCGTTTAATTGAACGATAATTCGCGTGACAACAAATCTGACAATAATTTCAAGCTGTATGAAGGCATACCTATTTTAAATGATAAAAACGGTTAAGAAGAAGAGTTTATCAAAATATAGATTAATTTTAAATCTTAATGGCTCATTGTGAATACAGTTTGCTTCGTGGGTTCTCTGGACAGGGCCATCTACAATTGCCAGCATTTTCCTTGTTATAAAATATCACATGATTTTACTTTTCTAACACTATAACAATTCTAACAAAGACAAAATCTTCCTGTTAAGTCGAGAAAATAGTAGCACTTGACGAGTAGCAGACTTCTTATAACGGATGTTCGGATTGATTGATTGACTGATTGTTGGTTGCTTAACGTCCGGTGGTTTCGGATTGAAAATCTTGTTAGATAAAGAAAGAAGAAGAAAAAACAATTTGGCAACATTTTCAATCCCGAAACAGTTCTTTTTATTTAAATATCTCAGATATCTTCATAGTCTACCAATTCTGGTCTTGAAATACTTGTCTCGTCACAGTTCAGGAAAGTCTTCCAAATTCATTTGGGACGAAGGAAAATGTATTTTGCATTGATATATGAAAGAGCTCTCGAGGTGTTTAGGAAGACTATTAAAAACTGAATGTCAGATGCACACAGCAAATCAGGATTAGGCATACTCTTATTTGTCAATAGCACGTTGCCTTCATAAAATGGTTGCGCCTATGCTATACTCAATTTTATGTGAAAAGGACTCCTATTCACCCTTATGAGGCACCATGTTTATTGTACAACCTAATAAACAAAATATATCTAATAATATCTTGGATTTCTTGCTCTCCGGGATAGATTAATATGCAGATATGTATATAAATAGTTTAAGCCTTTTTAGATTTGACCATTGTAGTTAACATTAAATACTAATATATAGATGAATTAACACAGCAATTTGTAACAACTCAATGTTTGCCTTGTCCACACTATATGCTATGTCCATGATGTGACTATATTATTTTTGTCCGATTCTTTTTAGTGCTTGGTTAACTGACAAAGTATGATAAAGTGTAGGTTAATCAAATCGGCAAAACCTTCAATATATGCTGACAGCTTATATATATCATAGTGAATTAACAACGGATTTCAAAACCGTCCTTATACAGATCTGGTGATATATGACAGAAAAGTAATTACATTGCATGTCTGCAGCAAATGTACAGGGAGACACCCAAACAGTTAAGGGAATTATCCTATTATTCACTGTAGATTCTTAATCTTTTAAAGAATTCAGCAAACAAATCATTTGTCGAAGAATATTGAATTCCATTAGAATATTTGTCTCAAAAAACTTCGAATACGGTTCTGTTCAGCAAGTAGCAAATAATCTTTTGGCAATAAAATAGAAAGTAATTAGGTAGTCAGTGAAACAAATATAAACCAACAACAGGAGGCGTCCCTGATTACTATA